ACATATTTTTCTTTAAAATAAATCTTTCTTGGATTTCTCAATCGTTGTAAATTTATTCCATGGATTGTTTTACTTTAATAACTTATGAAAATATCATCAGAACTAAAATACATAAATAAAATGCTTATTCGCTACAAAAAGTTTGCTGTAAATGAAGGTTTCCTATAATATTATTTAGTATTCTTAGAAAAACGTAGCAATTTTTCAAATTTCCAGTATTTCAAAGTACTTTAATATCAATATTTAAAACCATTGTTTAAGGTAAATTATATTTAATAGAGTCAGAAATATAAAGGAGCTGCTTTAATGAAATTGCACCTTTGCTTCTCTATATTAAGTATTGATTTTAACAATCTCATGAACTGAAGTTGAATATTAATATAAAACATTCCATATTTACCTTTCTTATTTGGGACAGTAGGGGCCCTGGTGGTGCAGTTGTTAAAGCACTCAGCTGGTAATCAAATGTTTGGCATTTCAAACCCACCAGCCAATCTTCGGGAAAAAGATGTGGCAGTCAGCTTCCATAAAGATTTATACCCTTGAAAACGCTATAGGGCAGTTCTTCTCTGTCCGGTAGTGTCGCTATGAGTTGGGATCAACTCAATGGTAGTGGGTTTGGGTTTTGCTTTATTTGAGATCATATTGTTTTTTCCTCACTGAAGAGGGTTTAAATATTCGAGGATTTAAATTACTTGAGCTGAAATAATTTGATTCATCAAAAATATTCACTCTACCTTTAAAACAGTCAGTTTATTTTGAACATGGAATGCTCTTTAAATTAAAGAAAAAAGTTCTCTCTCTCCCCGGGACTTCTTGCACCTGACATTGTTACATTTCTAATTAAACAAACCTCTTTGGCACTCTCTGATATGGTTTATTAATTTGTTTTCCCAGATAGCTCTCACTCTACCCGGAATACTCTTCCTCTGCAGCCTCTCATTGGAATAGAGTGTGCAGAAAGTTTTATTTCTTAGACATGAACAGGGTCCTGATGGCCTTTAACTGAGAAATACCATTGGAGGCTATCCAAAATTTTCAAAAATCCAATCTCCTCTTATCTATTATGACTGCCTCATATGGACCCTCTGTTCCTATTAGACAGCTCCCCTCATATTTTCTGAAGTTATTTTGTTTATTTTCTCCTCTCAAATGTGAGTCTTGATCAAAATTCAGGGGCTGGCTTGTGTAAGAGTTGTAATAAATATTCTGACGACAAAAAAATAATTTTACCTACAAAACATATAACATATAACTTATTTCATCAAGACAAACTGGCCAAACTGAGAAATGGTTTTTGGGTATCTTACATCTAGGTCAATTTTGGTGTTGTTGTTGTTCCAAGATTAATCCCCAAAGGGGAAATTTTTCTTTTCCTTGCAGCATTACTCCATTCTTCCGCAATTTCATTCCCTCTGTGAAGTCATTTTCAAGCCGTGAATCCTATTAAACTTCACTTAGGAGAATATAAGATTCTGATATAATTCCACCAGAGATGAGAGGCAAAATTCCAGAACAATAGTCTGTCTTTTGTTATAAAATACTTCCCCTGCAAGACTTTAAAACATTTTAGTAGTTTAACCATACTGGCTTGATGCCAAATTTCCCTTGTGAAAATAAGGTATTACTTCCTAGTATTTAGTGAATAGTGATTTCTAAGTGTCTATATTTACCATCAACCTTGAGATTAGAAGTGGATTATATATATTTCCACTACTAAACTAAAGGCTGTGTAAAGTATCTATCTATCCGTCTGTCGGTCTTTCTATCCATCGATCTTTTTATCTATCTCCAGGAGAGGGAACCCCTACAATATTATAATACTAGAGAGTGGTTAGGAAAGTTAATTGAAAGGTATTAGGAAGTATGGCCTTAAAAACCTGGA